GCGGGAGGCGGAGCGGGCAGGGGTAGATGGTGGTAGCTAGGGCGACGATCGCTGATTTCGTGCGTCGCGTCGTTCCTTTTTCTCAGTCCGTTTGTCCTAGTTCTCCTTCCAAACTAGTGACGTCACTGACGTCATTGAGAAGGCCGTCGACAACGCGTCCTAATTCCGAGCTTGCGATTGAATAAACCTGGTCGCAGCTTGTCTCTATCCTTCGAACTTGGCATCCTCGCGCGCGCGTTCGTATGTACGCAATTGTAACCTGCGTACACACGCCATACGTTGGGCCATTGTTTCGTACGCGAAATTAGAGACACGCGCATCCACAGGAACGACGATGTTCGTCCGTTTCTCGGATCTTTTAATCGCCAGATAGGGAGACTTCGGTGAAAGCCGACGATGGTCGAAGAGTGCGCAAAAATGAATCAATCGGAACCGGGACAATCGAATATTCGCCGCGCTTCGCACCACCCCATTCAGCCTGCGATCTAGTCGCGCGGCGAGAAACGTACGGCCGGGTCGTTGCGCTTCGTCGATGACGTTGGATATTACGTCACGTCGTCATGACTACCGTCGTCCCGTTGTCGATCTGCCGCTCTAGCGAACTCCACGAAAATTGGGGCTTCGACCTCGAATTAGGTCGGCGTTGTTCCACTTTGAGTCGCGCCTCGCACCTCCGCTCCCACCGAATCTAGACGAAACGACCGGTGACCGCAGAGTATCTCGCGTCAATCCCCCTTTTCATCCATGAACTCCGACTTTTCGCTTATCGAGAGCCATCTTTCTCGCACACCGATCTGCAAAATCGGCAACGTCGTTCGACGTTCGTCGATCGCTGCCACGCGACCTACGCGATTGATTTCAAATGAAATATCGTGGTTCACGGTCGAACGGCAACGAGACTACGCATAAAGATACTTTTCACGACGACTAGATGACATATTTCCGATTCTTCGGGTTTCGATCGCGTTATTGGTACGTTACGTTTCGTCTCGATGTTTCACGAACGACGAAACGACGTCGGAAGAAAACGCAACGTACCGATAACGCGATCGAAACATATTTTTGTCTGCTGCTCTGTTACCGTATCGTGTACCTTTGTTTCACTTTTAAACATTTTTTAAAGAATTTGGCAATTACAAAATGTACAAAAGACATTGAAAATGTGACCGAACAGGTTCCTTCCATTTTTACCTACTTTACCTTGAGACATTTCTTTTCAGACACTGAAATAGATGGAACGATTAACATCTACCTGCTTATATCTTCCCCCGCGATCTTTTCTTGTAATAATGATATTTAGAAGATAATATCGTTAGGCGTTTCGAAATGGCGGAATTCTGGGGAAGGGAAAGAAAGACGGAGCCAATAAAGGCACAGTGGCGTAGAATCATAATGTAACCATATTATTTCTTTCAACGTAACACAGTATTATTATCATTATCATCATTGTTACAACAGTTGTTTGAATATGCCCGGCGTAGTGGTGTAGACCATCGTAGACCGTTATTTTCTATTCTTAGGTATGGTAGTAACAATCGTAACAACGACATCGGTAACAACAACAACAATAATAATAATAAGAATAATAATAGCAATAGTAATGATAATTGTCATAATCGTAATCATCAATTATATTAATTATGATTATAGTAATATTTATCAGCCGGTAATACGTATCATTCAAAGATTACGATGCTTTCTTTACGCACGATACATAGGCACAAGTGTGCGCGTTGAAGCGTTTAAGTTTGATTCATCGATCGGATTTCTGATACAACGATCGAAAATATTGTCAAAAGTAGTACTTTCACGGGATAAAGATACAATATTTCAAAGATAACGACGAACTTTCGTATCTAGAGGCACTATCGTTCACGTGTTTCGTTTCTCGTCGATGTCATTTTCTCAAATTCTATCAGATACATCGTATATCCCCAAAGGTTCTCCCTTTGTTCTTAAAACAACGAGCGAGAGAAACGAACGAAAGAAAAAGGCAAAATGGGTACAATATAATCGCTTAAGGCTTAAGATTACGAATCGATAGAAAATCGGACGTTCCTTTAAGTGTAAAAAGTTTCGTGAAAATTCGAAAGTTTGTAAGGAAACTATAGTATAGATGGTAACGGATAAATATCTCACGATTCGTCGCGAACGTTGTTTCTTTCAGCCGTTCGAGACGTATCGCTCGCTCTTCGCCACTATCCGAACCGAACAACGTTTTGCTTCTAGAAGAAAGTTACACGCGATCGTGTTCGGTCTCTTCGCTTGATCTGTTTCGTTTCGTTCGCTTCGTTTTCACCTTCGTATTTACGTTTACGTTCACGTTCGCGTTCGTATTTCGTTTTGTAGATATTGAAAAGCGTAATATTAACAGTAGCGGGTAACAGAGAACGGTGCTACGGCGTTCAAAAGCGCTTCGTGCTTGGAAACCAATCGTAACGCTTATCGTAGGTAGCTGGCAGCCTTTCCTCACGCGAGGTTGCCTACAATATCGTGTACGATGCAATAGCGTGATTCGCTTCGCAAATGTGCCACTACGTACGAAGCGATTTGAACGACAATTTCTCTCAGGACAAACGACTCGGTTCTCGAACATGGCCGCAAGTAGATCGTCCAAGATTTCATCAGCAGAGCCGACTGATCGATCTGCGCTCGGGCCGTTGCACGTTCTTTATGCACGTTCTAAAAGAAATTGACAAATTTTACTAAATGTACGTGACTGTATCGACGTAACACATTCGAGATCGACGATCTAGATCATTCGCGGAGTTTTTACGCTATCCGCGAGAAATTTTAAAGTGAAAAAAACTGCGCAGAATGCGCGTAATATTGCGAAAAATATCTTGTCAAAATTCATCGATCTCCAATGTATTAATTTAGTAAGTATCGATCGTTAGCGTAAATATTAGATGCGGGTAATGGAAGATCTGTCCGTCCGCCGTAACTGACGAGATGGAAAGAAGCGAAAACGATAAATATTCGAATTAAATCTCGACAGTTACTGGGATGCGACGATTGCTGTAATAAAATATAAAAATCTCCGTAATACATCTGTCGTTGAATGACAATTTGATCGCTTATTAAGAGCAGACGATCGATAAATCCTTATACGGATTTGAAAATTGGAAAACTTTTGCATAAACTTGAACGTATTGTATCTCGACCCACGCTAGGGTTAAAAATATCAACGAAGCATTGCCTTCTATTATACGAAAATCTCAAACGGACGATTAGTATTTGCAAAAGCGGTACGAGACGTATGCATGTCCATGGTGGTCGCAAGACGCTGCCAATAAGTAATAAAATCACATGGAAGTGCAAGGAATCAACGTTCGTTGCAACTGTTACAGAAAGAGCAGAAAATTCGTCGTTCATGCGCAACTACTTGTTACAATACCAGAGTTTTAATACCAACAAGTTTTTCTCTGTCAAATTTGAGCAACTTACCCGTCTTATTCACTGAGTACCGGTAGCAGAGACCTTACGCGACAATTAGATTAAAAAAAAGATAGGATTAGCTCGTGATTCCGCGAAAGTTTTTTTCTTAAACTATACGTACAGTAACATATTTTCCATCGATTTTGAAACGATTCAATAAGAAATCGTTGGATAACGAGGTTCGTCTACTTACAGTTCGATGCTCTGAATGGTAGACGTGGGACACGTGATATCCACTTTAACGTGACAATGCTTGTGACACTTCATTTGACAGTCTCTACACTCGTAACCCTGCTTGCCCAATCTTCGCGCAAGCGTTCGCTTACACACCTCGCATACGGTTCCACTGAAATGAAACGACTCCACGTCTGACTCCACGCTAATTTCATTTCTAATGCGATTTTTTCGCAATTGGATACAATATGACACGCCTCTCGGATGTTAAGTAATTTTCAAATATATCGCTGACACACAGCGAAACGATAGGATAAATAAACGCTGTTAAATAATATTATTACTACGAAGATTCTTTGAAATATCGCTCTCGGAGTACAAAGTGGAAGATCTAGCTGGTTAAAAGCCTTTACGCAACGACATATACGTAATACGGTGTGTTCCGCGTTAGCTTACCCAGCCATATGTTTCGCTATGAAAGTGTGATCGTTGAATATGTGAAGCTTCGTGCCTTTCTTTCGCCATTTGCTCTTTTGTGCGAGCGACAATGGTACTAGGTAATGCCTGAAAATAACAAAAACGGACGTGGAATATGATTCGTTCGGCATACGAAAATATAAACGGTAAAACGAACGTCGTGTTGCTTACTTTTTAATACCATTCTCGAGGGTCTCGAGAACTAAAGTGGAAGCCTCGTTAACGTAAGTTCTGGTCGACGCTCCGCTTATACCGGATGCTTCGCTCAGACTCGATCTCCTCGAATGCTCTTCCCTCCCTGGTATCGATAAACGAACTATAAAATTCAAGCGAAACAATCGTTTGCAACTCACGTTACGTTAGTCGCGTGTCAGCGTTATTGGCACGGGAAATGTCTTTTATTGGCAGTGGCGTTAGCGTTGTAACGTTGGCGTGCGTGTATCTCATACTTTTGTCGGCTGATCGCTTTACGAAGCTCCGTAAAATGCGCGCTCTACTGCTGTTGCTCGTTGCATCATCGGTATCGGGATGATCGTACTTACCAACGTTGCGTGCCACGCACGGGATTCGTGTGCAAAACAAACAAGTAGAATTTTATACTAAAGACTCGGTCTACTAGAGGGAAGAGGCGCTAAGTCTGTTCTAAATCAGGAATCGTTTCACGGGCGTAATGTATACTCGTGAGCAAACATACCCGAGCCAGGATCACGCGCTCTGTCCGCAGATATAGACCTGGAGTGTTGATCCTCGTGGTTTGCATCGCCTTCCGGTCCGACCGATCTGCTTCTCGTCTTTGATCGACTCAATCGTTTCTTTATCGTTCCAAAGAAATCTCGCCTTTTTCTTCTCGTTCTACCCCTTTCTACGACACGAGGAGGCATAATTTAAACCAACTATAGCGTTTCAGGTGAAAGCTGGAAACGTCTTGATACTTATGAATGGAAGAGTACGCAGCGAGCGGAAACGATAAAAAAAGAAAAGAAAGGAGGGGATACCTTCGGAATTGGAAGAATTCGGCGTGCTTTCTGGTCCCGAGGTCACGCTCGTATCTTTCGGTCCATGCTGAAACGAATGAAAACAAAAGGTTTATAAACAGACGGTTAAGGTCGCGGTTGTTTCACAAGCATCGTTATAGACTTTTTACAAGGTTTCTTTTCGAATCGACTGTAACGTAATTAGCGAAAACGTGAGAACGCGAAAATTAGAACGGCGCTGCGTTAAGAATAGGACAGAAACGATCTCGTGACAACAAGAATAATTACCTCCGGAGAGATTTCCTGCCAGTTTCCACTTTCCGTCAGGGCGACCTGTGGAATTAGTAAACACACGCCACTCAACTGACGATAATTAGCGTTCTCGTAAAACACAAGGCTGCCTGATTTCCAATTGGTTCATAGATGCAAGAAGGACGTAAATTGGAGACAGGCCGTGAAAAGTTAAACGGGAAATGGGATCGTTCGAATGAAAGGAATATTATAAATACCGTGGCTTTCGATGCTGGAACGGGAATCCGGAGAATGGACGTAAGATAAGGAGGATCTAAAAAAATGCTGATAAAATACGTGCGCGGATTTACAACCATGATCACGCCGGTGACGACGAGGGTGAGGGGACACGACGTCAAGCAATGGCTTACCTTAACCACCTGCCGCTCTGGCTGCTGCAAAAGAGAAGACACAACAAAAAAAAAATAGACCATAGTCGATAGGTGTTAGTAGATGGAGTAAAATTTGCATAGGTCTCGTAATTGCATTCAACGTGCAGATTCATTGAGCGTACCCTTTGCTGGCTGTGCACGATCAGAGTTCCTTTGTTCCCGTTGCTTTGTCCAGTTCTGTAAGGCGAATCCACCACGTTGCCATTGGTCAGATAGTCTGCAAATTACATTTGGTCGCTCAAAATATCTAATCGGTTGGAAGGAAGAACGGAAGGAGGTTTACGACTTTCTACGTCCATCATTCCACCAAGCATTCGTCATTTCGTTTACCAGATAAGTTTTCGCGTGCCTGGCAACGCGACCGCGATTATGCAAGCATATTGCATACACTGTCATCGTGATTTGCCAGGTTCGCTTCACTGGTAGTCGAAATAACTTCGAAGAATCGTCGATCGTAAGAAACTCGGGCCGAGAAGTGAGCGTACAATCGTTTCGTATCGTGCTAGAGGAACGTTAAAGCGAACGTTAAGTAACGGAGTTGACAGAAGAAGGGAGACAGCTAGAGAATTCTATACGTGTACATACGAGTAAACATAGGTCATGCGAATTATTACATGGCAGTGGAAAGTACAATCCGGTGCTAGAGATGCAGGCACGCGCACGAGAGGGAGAGTTCGTGTCGCTGCTAGTGCGAACAACCAATAAATACGATCTATTCTATAGTTGTAGAAGAAAAAAAAAAAACAGGATCTACGTTGCGTTAAAGTACACAGTGAAATGTAACATCGTTTCGGCGAGATCATATGTGGCGAGAGTTGCGATCAACTGTTTGAGTACGATTTTTAAAGGGCAGTGACATCACTAATCATCGCTATGTTTTCACACTTGTGAACACGAACGCAATGCCTTTCAGATAAAGTAATTGGTAATTACCCCCTTCGGATTGAACGGTAGAGTCGTACAAGATAAGTGTGCTGTTACCATTGTTGTAATTTAGACTATTGTCGCTGATGAGATTTGTCGGGGTGTAGGTACGAGGAGTCGGTGACACCGGCTTTATCGTCTCCTTCACCTTGTAAGGTTTGCTCCCAATTTGAGGCACCTCCGCGCCCTCGATGAATAGAAACTGAGAAAAGAGAGGACAGAGAGCGAAAGAGAGAGGATAGAAAAGGAAAGAAAACAATGAAATGGCATAGCAAATAAAGAAATTTCGTTAAATTACACCGCGTATGGGCGTTCGCGTCGCTCTTTTACTTACCTCTACGGTCAGAGTGCCGGTGATATCTTCCTCTTCGTACGGTCGATTTTGAAGAGGTATGATCTGTCTCTGACTCGGATTTGCGAGCAGCTCGTCGATACCGACGATACCCAAACCTAAGAATCGTTGGGATTTATTTACGCGATCGTAGACCTCCAGCAGTACTTCCGACGTATTACGATTGACGTCGCTGCAAATTACGAGCGATCGTGAGATTCAAGCAGGTAAAAGGGTATATTTTGGCTGTTGTTTCGTCAGAAACGAAGAAACGAAGAGAAATCGGTCGATTTCGATGACGACGAATCCGCATCGAACCGACGCGCCGCGATCTTTCGTTTCGAATTACTTACAATAGAAACGCTTCGTCCCACAATGGGTTTCGAGCATCCTTCTTGACGGACGTTTGATTTTTCTGCGGTGGTTCGTCCAATTCAACGACGCAATACGGTTCTGAAGCACCCTGCTCGCCTCCTAATTCCGTTGCTTTCACCACCTTGACGAGCAGCCTTCTGTCACTGGCAATATATTGATTTTGTGTCGGTGTTGGACTTTGAGTTTGAAGTCGTTGTCTGGAGGCTCGAAGCGAATCGCTCGACGTCGTCTAGACGAATTAATTATTCGTTATGTGGAAAAGGGACCGAGTGTCCGAGTCGTTTAAAAATAAATTTACCACGTTGTCGTAATGCATAGGCATCGAAAAGCTGTGTTGCGTGGTCGCCGGTTCCCTCCATAACCGTGGACAGCTCGGATATTGGAACAAATTCAGATGAACATTGGTCCCCCTTAACGCGCCTATTACGATTTCCGTTACGACTTCCTGCAATTGGCTCTCGTCCAGATCTTTCTTTATCGTGCCTACTTGGGCCAGCGAGACTTTCACCTAACGTAAAGGCGAAGGTACAAGGATAACGAGAGATATCACGAAGCCACTGGTTGGAAAAATAACGTAAAAATATGATACAAACGTCCGGCCAGCCGTCGCATTTCAAGTCTAGCAGAAGCTTCTCGGTGATGCAGATGACGTTTAATCGCGCACGGAAACGATTTACGTTTACGCGATAGTGGCTGACTTCGAGCTTATCAGCTTTCCGGCGAGACGCTTTCAACTGTAACGCTGGAGTTGCTTCGCAATCGCACGTGATCGTCTGAAACGAAATAAACGAGATGACCATACTTGAAACGATCCTTGACACAGAAAATACGTGACGAAAGAATATTTCATACGTACCACGTCATCCTTGGAGTCGCACTCGCAAAAGATGTTAGAGAGATTCGGTGGATGTGTTTCGGGTAAAACTCGAACGAACTCGACTCCGACTCCGTGCTACGAGTAACGAGAAAACACGAGTGAAAACGCATTTTTCCGTAACGATCGAACAATTCAAAGAGGCTTTGTTTTTCATTGTTTAATTTCAAATAGATTCTATTCGGTGTTATCGCGGAGTTGGTTCGTAGAAAATGAGCGGGCCAACGATAAGCGCGCGTAACTCGACGAGCCTGAAGCACGATTTCTAGGGCCTCGTCGGTAAAATTGTCCGACAGCATATCGCGAATGGGTTAAGCCGGTGTTTTTGTTGCTCAAGAACACCTACGCGGAAGATCCTTCTTCAAACCTTCTCCGATTCGATATTTCTCCGGTCGCTGTCTCTCGACACGGTGAAAGATATTCATGAGACAGGACCGCGAGCATTCCTAGCGAAGCAGATCTTTTTTCGATATGGAGAAAATCATATCGTTACGATAGAACGGTAATGCCGATGAGAGCATTGAGCGGACGAGAATATCGGCTCACCTCGTCGACCGAGTTGCTGGTAAAATCATTGAGAGACGCGACCCAAGCAGCCAGGAGTTGGTCCAAAATCGCTGGATCTGAGTAGAGCCAAACGATGATCTCGTTGACCCAGCGTACGGCATCCGGGTCGGCCCCAGTGGCGGTCGGCAAATTCAAACTTTTGCTACTTCTTGCGGGGCTGATGACGGAAGGATGAGGGGCAGCTGCGTGCGATCCGGAACCGGCGCTGCCGCCACCACCTGCCCCGGCCCCCAAGGATACCGAACCCGATGAAACGATTTTTTGCTTGCCAAGCGAAAGTAACTTGCCTCCACTACCGCCGCCACCACCTCCACCACCGGCAGTACCACCACCACCACCAGCACCACCAGCACCAGCACCACCACTGACACCGACGCTATCACCGTGAACGATATGGCCGTCCTTGGCGGTAACTATTGCCCCAGAACCGAGCTCGTTTAAAACGAATCGATTGTAAACGTATTTGCCGACACACAGTACCACTAATCCGAACAACATCCAGCCAAATATCAGCATCGATAACGTATCCATGGTCGTATCACCAGCTGAGTCGAAACTGCATATCAGATCGTCCACCCGCTCGGCCAAGTCGGCCATATTGCCCCATCGTTCGGCCAACCAAGTCCAATTGGATTCCAAAAACATTCTTTTCTATTTTCACCCGCTAGCGAACAGCGCCCCACTACTACCGTATTACAAGTTATTAATAGATCTTGCGTATACCCTGGGCCCCCAGGACTACGGCACTGTCTCCGTCTTGATTTTGCCCAACGACCGCCTCTCAGCAGTTTTCCTTTCCCTGGGTCACATCGATGTCGATCATCGACTCCTTCGCCCGCAACGCTCTTTACCACGATCTCGCGACGCTCCCCTTTTTCCCGCGTTTTTAACTTGATCTTCTTGCTGCCGATCCGTCGAGACTCGTGCTTTAACAGCTTTCAGTGATTCGTGCTCTAGCCGACGCGGTCGTGGTCAGAGATCGACGATTCTTCTTCTCTCCGATTAGCTCCGAGTCTTTAAAATTCCATCTCGACACCTGCACGGTCTTATTGTCACCATTAACGGCGTGATCACTGCGACGAGCGTGACCACTGTGATCGTGATAGCAATCGTAATTGTTCCCACTTTGCCAAGCCGTAAGCACGTTCGATTTCATTGCCGCCTCCACACGCTGAAACAACAATGATCAATCGGTCAATGGACGTACGCCGGACCGTAACTCTATACATATTCGTTTCGTTAGAGCATCGTGTACGATTGTTTATCGATCAGACATTGCGACTAATCTCAAATCGATACGAGCAATTATGTACACGAGATTCCAAAATTGATAACATACACGGACAAAACATCGTGGATACCGAGAATGAGATAAGATTATAATTCTGTATTTACGTGTTACGTGTACGGGCAATGGTACAGTTTTCCCTTACCAGTGTTTCGTCATCGAATGCGTCATCTCTCGCGATTCGCGGATCGCGTCATCTCCTATTCGCGTTGTAGTGGAGCTTCGTCGCAGACCTCGTCGAGCGTCCGAGACAGACACGGTGAACGCGTTGCTCGATCAATGATCGACCACTGGCCCGTGGATCTAGTGACACGCGTGATCTCTGCTCGCTACCTCGTTCGCTTGAACTCGTTTCGATCTGTCAATGTTCGAACGCAAATAATTTTCAAACGCGAAACGAATATTTGATCGATATTTTCCTAGTCAACGTGATTCGCGCTGATCTAAGAAGCGTCGTCGCAAGCATCGACTTTTTCGGATAAATGAAATAAATAAATTCAATTATTTTCGAGCTCGCGAGAATTAAAGAATCTATCTGTGCATTGTTCGCGTTCGATGTAATTACAAGAAAACCCCTGGTTCGATGCACGAGAGAACGTGTACGATATTCGCGTGACACACGCGATATATAAACCTATTCGTATTTCAGCGCGTCAGACGTAGTACACACGTGAAATTACGCATACCGATCCTCTAACTTTGAATCTCACGAAACTTATTTTCTATCGAGAACGACGAACGTAAAACGAAACGAGCGAACCAGATTACGAACTGGTGTGCTAATTTGCCACGGTTCCACGACTTTCCATCGATCCGAGTGGTCAAGACAACCGGCACGTTGTCTACGGCTACGGAACGTTTCGATGGTGTCTCGTAACGCAATCGATTCGTCCTCTCGCGATGCTTCAGCTTCGATCTCTTTTCGCTTTCGACGATCACGCGTTACTATGCACTGACGGATCGACCAAGACTACACACCGTAGTACTCCAGCTAATTGTTGTTTCGCCTAAGACTCCGACACGCGGTAGTTTGCTCTGCACGGTGCTCTATAATCGTACATGGATCACCGCTCCTCCGATTACTCGTACCGTGATTACCGTGACTGTACAGTGTATATTCGATCGTTGGAACGTGTATCTTTCATTTGTTTGCCGGTGATTTTGCCACGGTTGCCTGCGCCCACGTCTCGTCGTCTCCAAAAGTCTCACTGTGACGCGTGTCTCTCCCTTTCCGCTCCTCTATCGCCGCAACGCGTGGTCGTCCGTGGTCCGCAAGGCGCAAGCGCGTTTACTTTGCCGCATCTACCTT